AGAAAACCAGAAGTGGCGCTGTGGCTCAAGTGGTAGAGCGCTCGCCTTGAGCTGAAGAGCTGAGGGACAGCGCCCAGGCCCAGAGTTCAAGGGCCAGGACTATACAAAAGGGGGTGGGGGAGAGGAGGGGCGGAGGAGGATGGAGGGGAGGGGAACCCCCTGACCTGAGCACCTGCTACAGAGGCTCCACTCTGAGCAGGGGTCTGCAGTGACCAGACAAGGGGGACCCCCACCCTGGGGCCGGGGGGTGGACAGTCCATTCCACAGCAAGCACGGGGGGGGGTCCCCCACACAGGGGCTGACCCCCACCCCCATCCGTGGGTCAAACCACACAAGCTTGGGACCAGGGAAGGGAGCACACAGCCGGGAACACAGTGAAAACTAGTCACAGCAGCCGCCAGGGTTAAAGAAAACCAAACACACCACGACGTGGAAACGGACACGGGCCGACCACGGTCACTGTGGCAAGAGGCAGAAAGTTCTAGACTGAATCATCCTGCCTGGCTGGCCAGCCCGCCCCCCCCCCATTCTCTCTTCCTGTTCCCTTGGCTAAAACTTCAGCTCCCATCTCAGTCAAGGCTGGAATTGAATTTTCTGGTCCCCAGATAGGGAGATCTGAGGGCAGCCTGAGGCCTGTGTGATTTTCGGGGGCCCCATCACCCCCGAAATAGAGGGGCTGGGCCTGTTATTTAAAACAAAAATTAACAGCATCTCCCTTTCCCAGATATAAGCCAGGGGAGGGGGACGGCAGGACTCGAGATGAAGATAGGGATACAGGGGAGGCCTTTAGGCCATTGGCCCAACCTCTTGGCTTCGTCTGGGGTGGGTTGTGGGGGATACAGTAGGGGAGGCCTTTAGGTCATTGGCCCAAGCTCTTGGCTTTGTCTCAGAGCTGGCTTTGTCTTGGGTGGATAGTGGAGTTTAAATAAGAGTTCAGGTAAGTTAGGGGAGGTCTTTAGGTCATTGGCCCAAGTTCTTGGCTTCATCTGGGGTTGGTTGTGGGGTTTAAGAGTTCAGGTAAGTTAGGGGAGGTCTTTAGGTCATTGGCCCAAGCTCTTGGCTTCGTCTGGGGTGGGTCATGGGGTTCAGATAAGTTGGGGGATCAATCAATAGTTAGGGGGCTCGGGGCACGGCCACAGAGACACACAGAAGCTGGAGTCCCTGGGTTAGTGGCGGCCACACGTGCAACACACACAGATCCTTCTGGACGCCCCTGCCAGGGCTCGGCGGGCAGGTGGGCAGGCGGCTCACCCCCGCCTCCCAACCCGCTCACTGCCTTGCCTGTGGGCTTTAGCCTTTCTTTCTGCCCTGTGCGTCCTCTCAGCTCAACGGGGCAGGGGCTGCTGCGGCGACCTCCTCCCATGGCCTGCGGAGAATCAGTTCATCGTTTAAGGGGTTCTGGGGGTGGGGTGTGAACTCTACTTCCTACACTTTGCATCACCTCAATTCTTGCTAGGGTCTCCTTTGTTTTTGCGGTTGTTGGTCCTGCTGGGGCTTGTGTGCTGTCCCTCTTTTTTGTTCAAGGCTAACATTCTACAGCTTTGAGCCACAGCACCACTTCTAATTATCCTGTGGTTCATTGGAGATAAGAGTCTCACAGACTTTCCTGCTCAAGGCTGGCTTTGAACCAGCGATCCTCTAGATCTCAGCCTCCTGAGTAGCTGGGATGACAGGTGTGAGCCACCAGCACCTGGCTTCATTGTTTTGTTCTTTCTTTTTTTAATTCATGCCATTCCTGGGGCTTGAACTTGGGGCCTAGGTGCTGTCCCTGAGCTCTTTCACTCAAGGCTGGTGCTCTACTACCCCTTGAACCACAGCACTACTTCTGGTTTTCTGGTGTGTCACTGGAGATCAGAGTGTCACAGACTTTTCTGCCCTGGGCTGGCCTTGTACCACGATCCTCCGGATCTCAGCCTCCTGAGGAGCTGGGATGACAGGCGTGAGCCGCTGGTGCCCGGCTTGGAGTTGGCTTCTTCTTTTTAAATGTGCCTTTCAACTGGGATCTCTCCACCACAGGACCACACTTCCCGCGGAGAGGGCCGTGCCCCGCGGCGCCGCCCACCCTCGGGAGGGGAGGGCTGTCCCTTACCTTGGTGTGACCCGTGTGAGCTCATCAGAAGGGTGCAGGATACGGCAGGTGGTGAAGGTGAAGGTGGAGTTGGTCTGTGACATGCATTTCCCGGGGTGGTGCGCTAGATTCGGGGAGGAGGGCAGGGTAGGGGAGGGGGGAAATAAAACATATTCCTTGCATCCAAGTAAACCACGAGCAAAACAACCCTCAATTCCAGCACAGCCCCCCCCCACCCTCCCAGATGCAAGAGGCAAAGAGGCGAGCCTTGTTAGCTGGAGGTGGGCAAGGAAGGTGCGATCTGAACTGTCCTGGGTGGAAGGCAGTCTCTCAAAAGTAAAATGTGCTGTTTCTTTTTAATTTGTCAGTCCTGGGGCTTGAACTCAGGGCCTGGGCACTGTCCTTGGGCTTCTTTGTGCTCAAGGGTGGCACTCTACCATGTTGAGCCATGGTGCCACTTCCGATTTTTGAGTGGTTCATGGGCGAGAAGAGTCCCATGGGGACTTTTCTGCCTGGGCTGGCCTCGAACTGTGATCCTCCAAATCTCAGCCTCCTAAGTGGCTACCGGTATCTGGCCAGAAATAAAACACATTTTGAGGGGCACCAGGTGTGTGGGGGAAGGGAGCTCAGCTTTCCACCCAATCCAGATCAGACGTTGCTCATTAGTGGGTTAATTTGGGGAGGGGGGCAGTAGTGGCTCCAGCTCAGGATTGGGCAGGTAAATTTACCATTCTGGGTAAACAGTTCCCCAGCATTCCTGCACACAGGTTGGACAGAGCTGCTTCTCGGGCCATTTTTTCATTTCTCTTTCTCTTTTCTTTTTATGTTTGTCAGTAATATTGGGGCTTGAACTCAGGACCTAGGCCCTGTCCTTGAGCCTCTCTGGGCTCAAGGCTGGCGCTCTACCACTTAAGCCACATCTCCACTTCGGGCTTTTGGGTGGTTCCTGGGAGATAAGAGTCTCCTGGGGAACTTTTCTGCCCGAGCTGGCTTTGAACTGCGATCCTCTAGATCTCAGCCTCCTGCAGTAGTGACAATGGCAGGAGTGGGCCGAGGGCGCCCAGTACGCTTTGTTTTGTTATCAGTTTTTTTTTTTTTCCCCACTGGCAAATGCGTTGCCAAAATGTTGCCCAGGGCCAGGCGGTGGGCGAGGGAGGTATTTGGCTCCTGGAAGGCAGGGGCAGAAAGGGGGGGAATTCCGGGATTAGCTGGTTCCACTACCATGCCTGTCATTACCATGGCAGAAGGCGGTGACCACAGTACCTCAGAACAACAACAACCCGGTGAGGGTTTAGACTGGGGGGGGGGGTCCCCTTGGGTGGCCACAGCTCAGGAGCAGCATCGAGTCTGATCCCTGAATCTCCCCAGTCTAGACTCTGTCCCCCTCGGCTGCTGTTTCGCCATGTTCAGAATGGCTGATTTCTACAGAAATCAAGATGGCAGCATGGACGACCGCCTCCATTTGTAAATATTTAAGTGTTTCTCTCTCTTCTGGGGTGAGAACTGAGGCTGCACACAGGCCTTGCAGCTCTTGCTTGGCCATTCTTTTTTTCTTTAGTTTAATCGTGCTTTCTGGCTCCACTTGAGCCACACCGCCTCCACTTCCAAGTTTTGGTTTGGTTTGGGAGGGTTATTTTTGGGGGGGGAGACACGTAAAAGCATCTGGAGGACTTTCCTGCCCCAGGGCCCTGGCTTTGAACCGTGCTCTCCAGCTCTCAGCCTTCGAAGGGAGCTGGGGAGATGGGCACCGAGTGGCCGCCCCACCCCACCCCCAGACACCCCACAGATGGTGGTTGTTGTTCCTGTGGCTAACGGCCGAGTGAGGCGTGCGTGCGGGAGTGAACTGGGGAGCCCGCAGAGGACAGGGATCTACAGGAGACATCACGATCACTGAGGGAGGGAGGCATCCATTCAGAACTCAACCAGCATCGTGGGGGGAAAGAAAAAGAAGAAGGAAGAGAAAGAACAACAATGTGGCATCTACAAGCATGCACAAGGAAAGGGCAATGAGGAGCTGGCCCCCACCCCACCCCAGCAGCTAGTTCAACTCCCAGAGAGAGACTTTCCAGAACAATCAGAAAACAGATGAGGATTTTTTTTCCAGAGGCCAGGGGGATTCAAAGGCTGCGAGCTAGAACCTTCTAGCTCTTTATTGGTGAATTTTCCCTCTTGGGTTGGATTTTAAAAAACAAAAGGAAAAAGGGAAAAAAAAAAGAGCACTAACCAAGAACTAAGAGATACAACAACAAATATATGAGAATGTCAAGGAGAAATGAAGTTTGTAAAACGAGGGTAGGAAGCAGACAAGGGGGAAGGAAGGAAGGAAGAGGGTGACACAGACCAAGAAGGGATTGTAGCCCAACTGTACAACTACTCAATAACTATAATAATGATAAGAATAAGAATAATGTAGAGACATAAATTGAAGGCAGGGTGGAAAAACCAGAAAATAATAATAATAGTGGCATAGGCCCTGGCCCCTGGACGGGTGGCTTGTACAAACAAATACTTAGCCATTGGGGAAGGACCATGTGGAAAACAGCAACACACACACACACAAAAAAAACAAAAACAAAACAGCCTTTATGAATCCTGGTATTTCCCAAATAAGAACACAATGGCTTTTGGGACATGGGATGGTGAACGAGAGAAAATTCTGGAGGAAAATCGGGAAATAAAAAAAAAAAACAAAAAAAAACTATAAGATAAAGCGAACTATACAATCATGATTTTCTGACTGCAGGAAGGATCTAGAAACAAAAGCAACAGAGGAGCCCCCAAAGAAGCGTTCCCCCCTCCCCGCCCCCAATAAACAGGAATGATGGGAGTTAATTTGGAAAAGGCAGAGAGAGAGAGATGGATGGGACAGACCCCCCGGAGAGAGACTGAATGGAAATCCACAAGGACACCACGGTTAGCAGAGAGATGGACATTAAAAAAAAAAAAATTAAAAGAAAAAAATACAAAGCCAGGCTAGATGTTAAAAAAAAGTCCTTGAAACCCAAGGTGAAGATTACAACACACACACACACACACACACACACACACACACACACACCGCTTGTCTCCATGAGGTGTTCGAGTCCCCTGATTGCACCACAGATCAGTTGCCCATCTGACCCCAGAGGGCTGGGGCAGGGTGGGGGAGAAGAGGAGGCTGCTAAAAAAAAATCACAAGTTCACCCGATCACAAGTTCACCACCACCACCACCACCACCAGTTTGCCAAGATCGACAGCTTTCGCAGATCAATGGCGCTTAGAGAGGATGGGCGGGACGGACGCGTGCCTGCACAGGCTCTCCACAGGTCACCTTGGGTGGCGGCCGGGTGGTGGCTGCGGGGCGCTCCCTTGGGAGAAATGAACACGGACATGGTGAGCGGAAGGGGACACGGAGGGCCAAGAGCTCCTTGGCCTTTACCACTGCCCCCCCCTCGTCACCACCCCTCCAGGCTGCCACCCCCTTGCCTGGGGTGCTCACTTCAGCCCTTCTGTGTCATGGCCCGGTTTCCAACTCCCAGGATGCCCTGCTCTTTCTCTGGCTGGCTGGCTTTGCTTAGCCAAGGGAGGCCCGGTGCCTTCACCACTTAAGCCATGCCTCCAGGCCAGCCTTTTTGCTGGGTGGTGGTGGTGGTCAAAATTGGGAGGAAAATAGTCTCATAGATTTTTTTTTGTGGTTTGTTTTTTTTTTTCGTTCTCTGCCCGGGGTTGGCTTGGAACGGCAATCTTTAAGATCTCAGACTTCTTTATTTTTGCCAATCCTGGGGTGTGAACTCAGGGCCTGGGCGCTGTCCCTGACCTGCTTTTGCTCGAGGCTGGTGCTCTACCACTTGAGCCACAGCGCCACCTCTGGTTTGAGTTGTTTGTCAGACATGAGTCTCACAGCGTTTCCTGCTGGGGCTGGCCTCGAACTGTGATCCTCCAGCCCTCAGCCTCCTGAGTAGCTAGGATGACATCGGTGTGAACCACCAGCACCTGGCTGGACCTACTCTTGTTTTGCTCATTTTTAGCAGCCTCTCTCCTGTGTCCCAGCGTTGGGGCTCTGTGGGGCCCCCGCACCTCCAAGAGGAGACGAGAGAGAAGAAGTTGGGGCTGCATGTGTGGCCTACACCAACAAGCAAACCCCAAAACAAAAAAAGAACAACCGATCAGAGCTGCACAGTGGACACGCAAGCACTCCCCACGCGGGGCGCACAGGGACACGGACAGAAGCGACGGGACAAGAGCACCACTGTGACAGAAGAGAGAAGAGAGAATGGCCCAGGCCGCTGCTCCTGGGAGTGGGTAAAGTGGACAGGGCTCGTGGGGGGGCCCTCACCAGACCCCTCCTCCTCCTCCTCCTCCTCCTGCGCGGCGGTCGGCTCCCGCAGCTCCTCGGAGGACGCCTGAGGCCGGCGGGGGTAGCTTCGGCCGCCGGCCAGGGGCGCGGGGGTCCAGGGCCTCTCCTCACCTGAGGCCTCGGGGCGGCGCTGGGCGGGCGTGGAGGTAGCTGGGCCCCGGAGGGGCAGGTGGTCACCTGTGTCGTCTTCCTCCAGGTCGTTCAGGCTGTACACCTCAACCAGGTCCACGTCCAGTGTCCGGAAGCCCTTGGTGACCACCCCGGGCCGGGGGTCGAGGATGCCCCCGAGGTGAGGCTGTGCCAGCTGCTGCCAGTGGTGCAGAGTGGCAGAACCTGCCAGAGGAGGAGGGGGGGAGGAGAGAAAATGCAGGGGGGGTGAGCAGTGGCCCGGACCCCTCAGAAGCACCCTCGGGTGGGTGAATCCTGACATTGCATGCACGGGGGCACTGCAGGCCAGGGTCATCTGGCCAGCAAGGCCGACTGCTATACCCTGCCCCGCCAGGAGGGGGAGCTGGGGAGCTGTTTTCCCCCCACACACTTCTTTTAAATTAAATGAATACTATACTATGCTATGTCTCTGTAAGAGAGAGAAGAGAGACAAAGACAGAGAATCTCCTAGGTCTGAACTCAGGTCCTGGGCACCATCTTGGAGCTTCTTTTGCTTAAGGAGAGCACCTCGACCACGTGAGCCAAGGCTCCACTTCAGGTTTTCTGGTGGTTCATTGGAGATCAGAGTCTCATGAGCTATTCTGACTTTGAATCTCGATCCTCAGCTCTCAGCCTCCTGAGCAGCTGACAGGTGTGAGCCACAGGTGCCTGGCTGCTTTTTTTTTCTTTTTTGTAAGACCAGCATCTCTCTTTGTAATTGGAATGTGCTGTCTGTCCTTGTCCTGTGGAAATCTTGCGAGGTCAGATGGAGACATGAGGCTGCCAGCGTTGTTTAAAGGCCCCAGCGCAACACCCGTCCGGCTGCCACAAATCAGCGGACCACAAAAAGGAAGCGGGTGAGACCGAGGCTGAGGGCGGGCACCACACACACACACACACACACACACACACACACACACATTTGCAAAGTGCAGACTCGCAGTATTCTTTTGCATGGAAAAGGGCAATGCAGAATTGTGAACAACCATCTCAAACACGTATAGGTTCTCAGGCTCAGAGACAGAAACGACAGAGCCGTGACGGCCAGGGGCAGTGAACAGGGTAGCTCCTGACAGCACTGGCTGTGAGCACAGGGAGAAGTTTATATACCCAAAGAGAGAGACAAAAATGAATGGGAAAGAGAAGGAAGGAGAAAGGAAGAGAGAGAAAAAAATGGAAGGAGAAAGAAAAAAGGAAGGAAAGAAGGAGCGAGGAAGAAAGAAAGAGGAGGAAATAAGGAAGGAGAAAGAAAAAGGAAGAAATGAATGAACGGAGAAAGAGAAAGAAAGGAAGGAAAAAGGAAAGGAAGAAGGGAAAGAAGGAAGGAATCAATGAAGGAAAAAAGCAATGAAGGAAAGAAAAGATAGAGAAAGGAAGAAGAGGAAATAAGGAAGGAGAAAGAAAAAGGAAGAAATGAATGAACGGAGAAAGAAAGGAAAGAAAAAGAAAAAAGGAAAGGAAGAAGGGAAAGAAGGAATCAATGAAGGAAAAAAGCAATGAAGGAAAGAAAAGATAGAGAAAGGAGAAAGAAATAGAGGAAGGGAGGGACAGTGGAAGGAAGAAAGGAAGGAACAGCACAAGGAAGGAAGGAAGAGTGGAAAGGAAGAGCGAAGGGAAGGAGGCAGCAGCGGGAGAGCAGCGAGCTGGCCCCGCCCATCGCCCCGCCCCCGGTTCCCACGGGGCGCGAGGCCCCGCCCCGCCCCGCGCTCCTCCAATCAGAACGCGCGCTCTCTGCGCATGCTCGGAGAGCCATTTAAAGGTCTGCCCGGCCTCTGGGGCCTGGGAGGGAGAGGGCGGCGGGTGCCCGCACCCCGGGGTCCGCCCGCCCGCCCGCCCGCCGCGGTCACCTTCCAGCGGCTTGACGATCTGCAGCTTCTCGGGCAGGAAGCAGCGGCTGCCGAAGGACATGGCGGAGCCGGCGGTGAGCGCGCCCAGCGAGGCCAGGCTCCCGGAGGGCGAGGGCGGCCCCTCGGCCAGCCGCCGCAGCTTCCGCTCCTGCTCCTCCTCGAAGAAGCGCCGCTCCGACAGCAGGTTCTCCCGCCGCAGCGACAGTCGCCGCAGCGCCGTCTCCAGGTCGTGCGAGCCCGGCGTGCCCGGCGTGCCCGGCTTCTTCCCGAGCTCCTCAGCCCTGCGTGAGGGGCGGGGCGGGGCCGGCGTGAGGGGCGGGGCCGACAGGGGAAGGTGGCAGGGAGGGGCGTGGTCGGCTTAGGGGCGGAGCCAGCTGGCAAGGGTGGGGTGAGGGGCGGAGCCGACAGGTGAGGGGCGTGGTCGGCTGAGGGGCGGGGCCTGTGTGGGGGCGGGGCTGCTAGTCAGGGGTGGGGTGAGGGGCGGAGCCGACAGGGGGAGGTGGCAGGGAGGGGCGTGGCTGGGGTGAGGGGCGGGGCTACTGGTAGAATGAGGAGTGGTGCTGGGATGAGGGGCAGGACCACCAGGGGGCAGGATGTGGCTGGTGGGCGTGGCCTGTCCCGC